GCAGTCACACTTCGCATCAGAGGTCCCGAGTGGCTTTTTGCTAATGGTCCCTACATCAAACGCCTGCCAGGACGCACCCAGAGCCTGTGCGCTGATGCTAGCAGATTCCTGCAACTAGCATGGGAACAATTTCTGCGATCACAGGGCCAATCCCCCCCCACTTCCTGGCTCCAAGGTGCAGCCGACAGAGAAGTGTGGAAGCACTTCACAGCCGATTGGGGCCACAAAAACCAAGCAGTAACAACCCGTTTCTACTCCCAGCCTCCCGAAGAGGTCGATCTGAGAGGCTGTCAACTGGTGCAGAATGGCGACTTCTTCACGCTTCTGCACACGAGACACCCGCCGGTAGAAGAGCCGTGCACAACCTCCTTTGTGTGCCTCAACACTGCCCCATGCGATGTCCAAACTGAAGGGAATTCAGAAGATGTGTTAAGGGTCTTTTCGGATGGGAGTGCCCCCAACAATCGAAGAGGACAGGCAGGCGTTGGAGGCGCAGCTGTGGTCATACTCAGCCCCTACACCTTTGTCGAGCAGGCGACGATCTGTTACTTTCAGGTGCCGAAACCGTGCACCAACGTCCAGGCTGAGTTGCATGCTGCGGCACAGGCCCTACGCATGATCCGTCAAATTCGCCGGACGCACCTCCACGTCCCCATCACCTTTCACACAGACTCCCAGTACGTACTTCAGATCCTCGAAGGGTCCTTTCAAGGCACACATCATGCCTCGGTTACGAACGAGATCATTGACCTCTGGAGCGAACTGTGCCTCACTGTAGAGTGCAGACATGTTAGGCCGCATAAAGGGATCCTCCTCAACGAGATCGCGGACACTTTCGCTAAGGTTGCTACCCAACTGAGGCATCTCCGTAAAACGTTTTGCACCTTGGACAGAGCACATGCTGCCCTCACGCACCAACTCGATTCGTCAGTTTTTGTCCCTTGGTTGTGAACCTAGCTAGTTCAGTCTCAGTTCTCCATCTATAGGCATAGTGCTATGCTCCGTGTGCTTGTCCTGGTGAGCTCTCTCCTCCCTTTTCGTAATGAACTAGCTTCCCGTTTTCTGTCTTCAGATGCAAGGGAAGGGGGGGGGCAGGACGGGATTTTAATTCAGTGCTTGCATTTGCCTGTGATGTGATGTGCGTCCCTAGGCTTTCCGGCGGCAATGAGGTTACCCACACACCGGAAGCCTTCGACGCCCAAGCTTCTGATTTGTTTTCGCTTTCCGCGCGCCCTCGAGAGCCATGGAACAGATGACGGCCCCTCGCGATGTTCGTGAGCATGTGCAGGCCTTCATGGACTCAGCACGTCCAGTGGCGGTGATCCCTTCGGGGACCATGCTGCTGACTGCTGTGATCGGTGTGAGTGTGCTGCTGCTCTTCGGCTGGGGAGCCCTGACCAGCTTCCTCAGAGGCCTTGTCACAACGATGCAGGGTGCAGTACGTGAACACCTGGCCACTATGCTACAGGACCTCAATGAGCAGACCAAAAAGAGTCTCCTTTTGGAGATTGGCAATGCCACTGAGGAGATGCAGCATGCCCTCACGTCTCGCTTGGAGAAGACCACGGAGGCCCTGGAGTCGCAGGTGGGTGCAATTCAGGTGTCCATCAAGAACTTCGTGGATGCCCCTCGTGATAGCCTGAATGCCACCACCCTCGCCGAGGAACTGTGGGACAGCCTTCGTCCAGTGCTCGCACAATGGACTCAGGTACAAGGGGACAAGAACCTCAAAATCCTGCAAGACTGGATTGATGGCAGTGCTCCAGCTTCTACCACCTCCACGGTGTCAACACAGGCCCTTGAGGACAAGATGAAGGACTTCCATGCGGCGGTGATGGCACAGCTGCAGGACCTCCAGGGCGCTGTCACCACGACGACCCTCAACAAGGTCGACAGCCTCACCAACAAGGTGGAAGCGATAGCGGCAAAAGCTGAAACCCAAACTGGCTACATGAGAGAAGACCACGCCCTCATCGTTCGCATCAAGGACCGAGTCGACGAGGTGTCGAAGGAGTCTTTGTCACACCGCAGCGCGGTGCTGGCCGAGATAAAGAACCACTCTCCAATTATAAGGGACACGCAAAAGGTGGCCACGCGCGCAGCTGAGATGGCCGAACGGACGAATCTCCTTTTGGGGAAGGGAGACCCCTCCGCGTGGGAAACCGAACTCAGGAATGTCTGCGAAGACACGGCCAAGACCTTACTGTGGGTCTCCGGCCAGGAAACCGAGTTGAAGGACCGTACCCACAAGATCGAGTCCATGCTCACTGGGATGTTGGATGTGGTGAACGATGTCGGCACGGCCCTCGAGAGACACTCCGAGAGCATGGGACTGCGTCTGAGGGTGCTCAACGATGTCCAGGGAGGCCTGGAAAGAGTGCTGGCCACGCTCGCTGCTCGGAGTCCTGTGCCAACGGCTCCCCAACAGCCTCCTCACTTTGCGCAGACCACCGCCTTTGGTCGTCAGCGAGTGCCGCCGGCGCCCACGCACACCCCTACGATCGTGGAGGACTTCTCTGGGCAGCAGCCGATGGTACAGACTACCCAGACCCAGTCCAGCAACGCCCCGCCGGTGCTCGTCACCAACCTCGACGCCCTGACCCAGGTCCTGAACCAGCGTAGCGGATTCTAGCAGTTGGGATGTCCCCGACATCGCGGACAGCTGATGCCAGGTTCCTTGTGACAAGGCAGTGCTGATGTCCAGAGCCTGATAGATCATGACAGAATCAAGAGGGATTTCTGCAGAGTGCCTGCGATGAGCACTTATTCTTGATATCAGTTTCCTTAGCTGTTTGTTTTGATGTGCTCGCCGCGCATGCACTGCCTGCCTGCCCTTGCCCTCTTTGCACTGCCTGCCCTTTCCTTGCACTTTGTACTTTCCTTGCACTGCCTGACCTTGCCGGACTGCAGCAATCCTTGCCGAAAAAACATACAGAGCGCTTCTGAGAATGCACGCCATAGCGGATGCGCCGTCTTCTGTGTTGGAATTTCGTGGACAGGAATGTCGTTTTCGTGGCCTTAAGGCTCAGCAGACAAAAGACAGAGGACGTCGTCTTGGGATCATGGCAACCTTTTCATGCCTGCGAACTGCCCCCTCCCAACCCCTCGATCTCTGTTCTCCGCTGCTCCCAGTGTCGGCCCCCACAACGAATGAAGCCCTGACCCCAAAACAACACATGCCCGAACCATGTCCCTCGTTTGCGAGCACCGTGACTCAGGTCCCTCAGGCCCCGCGGCCCCGACACCCGGCACCCTTGTGGCCACACTTTGGCATGACTGAGGATATCAGGTTGGAGCCCATCGAACGGGAGGCCATACGAGTGTTGAAGCTCGAGCGCCCTCCGTGCCAACTTGACATCGAGCGCATGTTCAACATGATTCCCAGGTCTATGCTCAAACGAGGAGACCGGGATTGTACCTATGTGGTTGGGGGCGCTAGTCCTAGGTGTCGTGACTCGTTGCTAACCTTGTCTATTGACCTGCCGTACTTCAACTTCGCAGTGAATAAATATGTTCACTGGGTTGCCCCAGCCCACCGCTTCACGACCTTTGTACTTAGGCGCGGAGCTGTTGAGAAACCCCATAGGGACACCCGGAACGCCCCTTTCCCGTCTTTGGTGCAAGCCTTCAACACGCCTAGCTGGGAACTTGATGGCCTCTGGGTTCAGGATGTTTTGGGCACAGTAACTAAGCAGCACCTCAACGAACCAGTTGTAGGCAGAATCCAACCACTGAGGATGCCTTTCGTTTTCGATGCCAGGAGACTCTTGCATGCAGGCCATGTTCACGATTCGAGCCGTACGCAAGAGCGCCTCATTGTGGTTGCCTTTTGCACAATCCATACCTCCACCCTTTCTGAAGTGGCGAAGTCTAGGCTCTACGGGTTGGGTTTCAACGTGCCTACGACTCACGAGTGCTATCTAGCACTGCATGGTAGTATCCCCGGCAATCCCCCTCGCCTCCGACAACTATCCTTGCACGAGTATTTTCAGCTAGAGACTGTCGAAGATTCGAGGCATGATGTCATTGAAGTAGTACATGTACATGACTCACAGTCACAGTAGTGGTCGCTTGGCTGCAACAAGGGCTTTAGGGCCTCACTGTGTCCCTCGGCGCCTGGGCTGCACTTATGCCGCGGGGTGATGCCTGGCCGCACGGGAGTTGGACGTCGTTACTTGGCTTGGCTGCAACTCGGCTTTGTGCGTGTGTAAGACATGCCCCCCAAAAAAAATAATAAACAAACCAACTGTCCAGTACTGTCTGTTTGGCCTTGTGACTGTGTCGTGCACTGTGCTGTCTGCCTTCTTTCCCTTGTCTCTCCTTTGCACTGTCCTTCGCACTGCCTTTACTTGCCCTTGCCCTTGCACTGTCTGCGCTGCCCTTGCCTTGCACTGTGCGTCCGGTGTGGGTCCTGCCCTGCTCCTGCCTGCGCTGAGATCCCTAGACCTGCCCCCCGTGTGGTTCCAACTCCTTGTAACCCCCTCTAGTAACCACAAACCCCTCGACAGTGCCGAGAGCCATGGATTCAGTACACACATGCCGGAGTGATGATTTTTCTGACTGCTCTTTCAAACCTGCAGTGGACCGATCTTGGTCGAGGCGTCGCAATTGGAGCTGCCATAAACAGAGCTGGAACTGGGACTAAAGATGTCACGGCGCTTGGGTCTCGGTACGGGCGATGCAGGACTGCTATCGCAACATAGGCTTCGTCACGACCTGCCATCTAGGCACTACGATGGGGCACAATGGCGATGCCACATGCACCGGATGCGTCTTCGCTCCCGCCGTCAGGCGCTCAGCCTGGGATGTCCTCTTCTCTGGATGCTGCAACACACTGCCGACCCTTGGGGCACTCTCTGGAAGCATGGATCTCTGCAAAGATCCCATTATGAACGATTGCCGATTGCGGAGCTGGTTGGGATGTGTCTGGAGACTACAAACTGCTGACTGCCGAAGGCCTGCTGGCTCATGGATCTCTGCACAGATCTCATCACAAGTGGGCCCACACGGAACAGAGCCCTTGTGGGGCACAAACAGGATCTCTGCATAACCCCACATGAACTATTATGGACTGGGACATATCTGGATGCTACAAACCGCTGACTGCTGTGAGTCTGCCGGACCATGGATCTCTGCACAGATCCCATGAAGGCCGATTTCGCGCCTGACTGAAAAGCTGTTATGCTGCCAACTGTCCCATCGTGGCCGATTTTGGGCCTGGGTGGAACCTATTTCCATGCCAATTCTGGTGTCTTCTTCATGCAGGGACGTGGTATGTCGAAGTGGTCTTAGTACCTGATATGGCCAGCTCTTCACATGGCCAAGAATGCTGTGGCAGCCTTGCAAAACACACGCACTCACATGTGGGGGCTTTTGGGTCTGCCATGGTGCAAGAGGTCTATGGGATGGAGATCTCTCTCTGCAGGGACATGTCGCCTTCGCTGTGGATGTTGGGTCTGTCCGAGGTGGGTTTCCTGAGTCCTGGCTTTGAGCTCGTTTGTGCAGCTTCTTCGAGCTGATCAGCCAGTTTCCTTGAAGTACTGTGTGTCACGCTGTCAGCTCCTGACCTGGCTTGTTTGTCAGTTGCTCAGTTCTCCGATACTCTTGACACCTGCCATGCAGTGTCCGCGGACGTTGCCATGTGGGAGCCAAAAAAGAACCCCTAAACAAACGCTTCTAAAGCTCCCCCCCAAAAAAATCTCCGCGTTGTCGAAGCCAGGCCCGGGTCAGGGCCCAGCGGCCTTCGGGGACCAAAAGGGTCGGTCACAGGTGGGCCTCCTTTGAGGGGGTTAGGGGCTTAAGGTTTAGGGTTTTGGGTTTTGGGTTTAGGGTTTACGGCTTAAGGTTCAGGGCTTATAAGGCCTCCTTTGAGGCTGTGGCGGGGTGTGTCCTATGGGGGGGGGGCGTTCTTCTTGGAGGGGGAGTTTAGAGGTTTTTTGTTTTTTTTTTGGCGGGTGGTTGGGGTTCAGGGTTGGGGGATGTTTACGCCGGCCTTGTATGAGGGAGGGTCTAGGGGTTTTGGGGTTTGGGGGTCTAGGGCTTTGGGGGATTAGGGTTGAAGGCTTAGGGCTTTATTTTTTGAAGTTTGTGTCAGGGGTTCTGTAAGGCTTCTTGGGCACAGCAATTTGAATTTGAGCCGAAATGCTGCGGAACTATGGACATCTTTACTTTCTGTTCATCCTGAGCCTCGGTGGCCTGGGAGCCAAACAAACTGACAAGAGAAGAGCACAAACGTTCTGTTTCCTACACGAGCAAATCTATATTTAACGAACACCTTCAAAACCCCCTTTGTTTGCTACACAAATCTACAGAAAAAACCTATAACCACCCTTACAAGCCTATAGTCTATTCAGGCCTTTATGGCACCCTAAATTCCCGTTTTGCCTATATGATACCTTTAAAAAAACCGTACCTTTAAGCCGCAAGACTTCCCTTTGTCAACGCTTCCCAGGGCCGACTACCCAGCCTCTCTCCCTCGCCACGGGGCTCTCCGCGGCCGCAGGTGGAGGCCCGGAGTCTTTGAGATTAGTTGTTGGTTCAAATTCAAGAATCTGTTTGAGCGAGTAGCTCTTACATGTTAGTTTAGAGTTTCGATACAATGTTTTCCACTTAAAAAGGCGATTGGCTTGGGGTTTAGACATCGGTTTGGACCTTGCAGGTTTGGGGGTGTAGGGACTGTGGTCCCACAAAGGTTCACGGGTTCGAGTGTAGGGCGTCTCACGGGTCTTACGCTCCGTAGATCGTTTTTCAATGTAGGCGTATTGACAATCTTGTGTGGAAACGGCTGACGAAACGACTATGTTTGCACATTTGTCATGACCTCCACGGGCAGCAAAAGAAACCCCAAAACCCTTCACTGAGAGTGCCTTCGCTTGGACCGTTAACAAACATTTCTGGAAAGTTTCAGAAGTTATGGTTCCTCAGATATAAGTGCATGTAGTTTTACAGAGGCTTTATATTGTCTAACACTCCATCGATTTTTTTCAAGACTTCGGACAGCCTAGTCAAAGTAGTCCCGGACAGAGTTCTTTTGCCTGGCATATGATCATGCCGAGACTGTCGCGAGAGCGTAATCCATCTGTAATTTGAGCTCCAAGCCCTCAGTGCTGCATCCTAGCTCAACCCTGTTGCACGCCATCCATCCCAAGCTGGCCTTAATTCCCAAAGCCAAGAAACCATTAACCTCGAACGACTCACTGCCAATGAGCCTCAAACCCTGAAGTCAACCCAGGAGACGGCTCCAGTGCCAGTTCCAGACACAGCGCTACCTGCACAAGAGCCCCAGGTAGGAGTGGCTTGTTTCTGTTGCATTATGCAGGGCTTGAGGCTTCCAGGGAGTTTACTATCATGTAGCTTCAAGACGCAGAGCAGGTTGCTGTGATGCGTGTTGTAAAGCTATACAGCGACACTTCAGGAAAACCAGAACCGGCTGCCAATGCTCGATTACTGGGGTACGAGTGCTCAGAATGTTAGTATCGAGTTCCCACGAAATACTAATGAGGTTGGCTAGTCAACCCCTAAACACGACTACAGGGTTCAGCACAAGTGTGACTGGAACCTGCTCAAGCCGGCTCCAGTTAAGCTGCGCAGACGATAGCTCTGAAGTAAGTAAGTAAGAGTGTGTGTTTGTGT